AAAACAAATCGCAAAAAAATAACGGCAGATGAGGGGGGTTTTCAGTCTACGCATACATGCAAAGAAGTGCAACATTTTGACGTTAAAGTTTTTATTTCGTCCGCAGGCGTTTTGCAGAAAAATACCTTGTGCGTCTAGCCACCGGCTACATAATAGAATCCTTTTGTGCACCATATCGGTTGCGCGTAAAAGTGCATCATTAAAATCACTAAATTTTTACAGACGATCTTCAGAATCTCACAAGTCCAGGTGAAAGTCTTGAAGATCTGCGCGGCGGAACCCTGGAATAACGTTTTTGTGGACATTTGCCCCATATTAAGGTCTGAAGTGATGTCTTCATTATGTGAAAACCCGATGCTTCGTAGTTTTTTACTTGGACCCACTTAGAGTGGGTGTGAGGCCCGCTAACGGTGTACAGAATATTGGCCGAATACGTAATTATGTCTGTTTTACAAGCTTATTTCTGGGTAGATGGGTGAAAAATATGCCCTGGGGATGTGAAGATGAGTTTCTAGGTGCATTGCCTGGGACTTTGAGTGGAAATGCTGTAGGAACTAAAGGCGGAGCTGTCATCCAACACTTTGAACCATTTATCAATATTCACCCTGAGGGACGTTGATGACTTTAGGCTACCTGGTCGCCTGTGAGAGCCAGGGAAATATTTCAGGTATTCGGTGAGCTTTGGCCTTCTTTTTCTCAAGTGTGTAGAAGTTGATACTGTCGGGATATCTTGGGGTTACGGGCGTTTGTTTTGTCTTGTGCTAGGAAGGGAGGTGGAGAACTTTTCGGTGTCATCCTTGTAGTCTGGAGATTCCTTGGGTTGTAGAAGCAAGGCTGTTTTGGGGATAACAAAAGTTAATGGCTGATTTTTGGGTAGACAAAGACGTTTAGCATCACAAGATGATAGCGTTTGAGCAGAGGCGCCGTTCAGGAAGATCAGATTCCTAAAAGTAACTCCAGAATGCCCGGAACTCACTGAGACCCTCATAGTCCGCCACAATCTCAATAAGGATGCAGGCAAGCGTCCAGGCCAGTTGATCATTCAATCAATTCAGTAAAAGCCGACGAGTGTTCAAGCACGCCACAGAAGCACGACCGAAGGTGATCAGCGTTCAGGCATTTCATAGAAGCACAGCCTGGATCAACGTCAAAAAGTGCCCTTTGAATAGCGCGCAGCCATCGTCACTGTCGCACCGCACGTACTAGTTTGTTGCAATAAATCTGTTGTGTTCCTTGTCGGTGAGTTCTTTTCTGGCACCAGGCACTGGAGTGGGAACAACAGTTGGACATAACAGCACCAATCCAAACGAGTGTATAAGTACACATCATTTTTGTTTGAGGAAGATGGAGGGAGGTACACAAGATCAACGATCCGCATGTTTAGTCACTTGATGTTTCTTTTTTTTCGGGGGGTTGTGATATGTCAACCTTGACGTGTGATATCAACGTCGAGGACTTAGATATTAGGAAAGGATTAGCTGCATAGAGGCTGCAACCACCTGTGCGACCTTGGGGTAACCCAAAGCGGCTAAGCGTATATTCTGGAAAATGTGCACTTCTGTCTTAAATTTTTGGGAATAAGCCATAATTAGATACCAAATTATAAGACTAAACAGATTTGTGATAAAATGCTTTCAACTCCTGACGGCCAAGTGGATGTTCAGGAAGGAAGACGTGCCTCACCCCCTCACTTTTGATTGACGGGGTGACAATGCGGATGTGTTGCATAAGGGGAGGCTTGAAAGTGTTTCCTTCGGGCATTATGAGGCAAGGGATAGATTAGTAGTGTAAACATGCGTAAGAAAATTAGAGTAAACTGGGGGCACTGGGACGTCAGTCAAATATGTGGGTTTTAGCACTTGACGTGAGATGTTTCGAACCGATAAAAAACATCCGCCTAACTTTAGCTGGTGAGAACTTCCCCGGCCGGTGGTGATAAAACCATCTATATGACCTTCTACAAACCAAATTTTCGCCGGTCCTAACACCCACACACCCCAGATTTTGCTGAAACCACAGTTCGAACACAGTGACCTGTACATCGGTGTTTGTTCGAAATCTTAAAATCCCATCACATAACTGGAAAAGTTTGCTTGAACTTACTCGAGTTCTAACATGGCAGCCATCGTCACTGTCGCACCGCACGTACTAGTTTGTTGCAATAAATCTGTTGTGTTCCTTGTCGGTGAGTTCTTTTCTGGCACCAGGCACTGGAGTGGGAACAACAGTTGGACATAACAGCACCAATCCAAACGAGTGTATAAGTACACATCATTTTTGTTTGAGGAAGATGGAGGGAGGTACACAAGATCAACGATCCGCATGTTTAGTCACTTGATGTTTCTTTTTTTTCGGGGGGTTGTGATATGTCAACCTTGACGTGTGATATCAACGTCGAGGACTTAGATATTAGGAAAGGATTAGCTGCATAGAGGCTGCAACCACCTGTGCGACCTTGGGGTAACCCAAAGCGGCTAAGCGTATATTCTGGAAAATGTGCACTTCTGTCTTAAATTTTTGGGAATAAGCCATAATTAGATACCAAATTATAAGACTAAACAGATTTGTGATAAAATGCTTTCAACTCCTGACGGCCAAGTGGATGTTCAGGAAGGAAGACGTGCCTCACCCCCTCACTTTTGATTGACGGGGTGACAATGCGGATGTGTTGCATAAGGGGAGGCTTGAAAGTGTTTCCTTCGGGCATTATGAGGCAAGGGATAGATTAGTAGTGTAAACATGCGTAAGAAAATTAGAGTAAACTGGGGGCACTGGGACGTCAGTCAAATATGTGGGTTTTAGCACTTGACGTGAGATGTTTCGAACCGATAAAAAACATCCGCCTAACTTTAGCTGGTGAGAACTTCCCCGGCCGGTGGTGATAAAACCATCTATATGACCTTCTACAAACCAAATTTTCGCCGGTCCTAACACCCACACACCCCAGATTTTGCTGAAACCACAGTTCGAACACAGTGACCTGTACATCGGTGTTTGTTCGAAATCTTAAAATCCCATCACATAACTGGAAAAGTTTGCTTGAACTTACTCGAGTTCTAACATGGAGGCAGGCTCGGTATTTTCAAAAGCTAGTATGGCCCAGGCTGGGCTGTGTACGAAGGCAGCTGCAATCTTTGTAGAGAGCTCGATTCCTCGAAAGTTCTGCCTTTTTTACATTGTGCTTGAAAGTGTTTCGAGGGGGGCACATGAACAAACATTCCGGCGTCTTCGTACGCGAAAACTCCAAAAGGTGAAGCCATTTGTGGCCTATGTACAGAAATGCTTTCTGTTGTTGCAGTGGGCATCCTGTCAGAAAAAAACAGTGCCGAGGAATCCGCCGAAACCTGTAAGTTTGGTAGACTTTTATGACAGACAGCACACACTCTACCGGGCGCCCGGCAAGCTTCTGGCTTCGCTGGTATAATTATCCGTTGATGTTCACTTCCTACCTTCCTCAGCATAGTGGTCAGGTTTCTTCACCAACAGAAACCTACCATGTGACGAGATGAAGGAGCGCAGTGTGTATCGCACAAAACGCTTGAAAATTTCTCCCGCCCAATCTCCCTGAACTCAACCGCGTAAATTCAAATGTCCCGCCCAATCCTGCCTTCTATTCATTGACATTTTCTTATTGTCGCATCACCCCATCTCTATCCCACCCATTAAAATATTCCGTTGCACAAACTATGAACATGTTTTTGGTTCCCCAAATGAACCATATTATATTATCACTACATTCACATTTTGGGCACTTTTCGAACCGGTTTCTCACGCTTGATATTTGTCGCCTCAGGCTATTTTGTTCGCCTAAACTATAGTGGGTTCGAAGTTGCTATTTTAATGCGGAGTTAGTCTAATCAATTTGCACCTTCCCGTGACATGTTGCGCGTAGCATTTTGTTTGAGTGAGCAATAGGTCAAGGTCATTGACCATCGCTGATTTGCATCTTTTGCCAGTTTACGCGACATAAAACACGAAATCGCACTTTAGCATATTTTGGCGTTCTTCGGTGTTCCTGAAGAATAAAATAACATCTTAAGAGTATTTAATGCAAGTGCCTTATATTTGCTAGGCCCGCGTTTATGTGCAACGTTGATAATGAAACTGCACCTATGCACAGTAACCTAATCCGATGGTCGATGACGGTCTTTCATACCCTTAACTATACGCGATGCCGCTTGTCTTCGCTAGCTACAGTAAACATCAGTGCAATATATAGGCCAACCGGTAAAAATAAGGCCTCAGCTATGTGTGATAGCCACATCAGACAGCCTGTTATACTCACAACTGTACTCGAAGTCATCTAACTTGGCTATTGACCGTACCTGTTGAGTCAGTGTCCTTGTGAATGCACACCTAATCTAATGGTTAACGATGGACCTAATACTCAAAACTGCACGCGATATTGCCTACTTTGTCTACTGATTGAAGCTGCTAGGCCAGTGCTTATATGCAGCGCTGTTTAGCAAGCCTCAGCTATGCGAAGTGTCCTGATTTAACTGCCAACGATGGTCCGTCATACCCATAAATGTGCGCGCTCTCGCTTGTCTGCTACTTATATCATCATGGACAGCATGAAATCAGCGTTAGACACCGATCTTCACTGCCGTACCTGCCTGCTGCCTACAGTAAACACCAAGCCAGTATCTATGCGGGCCGATAGAAACCAGGTTCCAACTATGCGTGACATCTTAACGACCAACGGCTGCCCGTCATACTCGTAACTGCAGTTGGTATCGCCTACCTTGGCTGCTTTTCGTAATTGCAACACCTGTGTCTATGTGAACGCTGAGTATAAGACTGACGGTCTTTCATACTATGCGCGATGCCGCTTATCTTCGCTACCTACAGTAAACATCAATCCAGTATATATGCCGACCGGTAAAAACAACTCAACTATGGGCGATCTGACAGCCTGTCATACTCACAACTGTACTCGAAGTCACCTAACTTGACTATTTATGGTCATACTCATACGTACTCGATACCGTTTATGTTTGCTATCTTCAGTAAACACCACAACTGCAGCCAACGTAACCTACGGTGACTACCTATAGTAACTGCCAGGCCCGTGCACGTGGTCGTAGCTAACCATAATGTCCCGGCAACACAATAGACTAACCCAACGATCAACGGTGGTCATCACCTGTCAAACTGTAATCACCGCCCGATTTGATAGCGCACTCCAAACTCCTACTCTTGATTGTCCGCCCTCGACCACTCCCACCATTACCCGAAACAATGAGCTGTCGCTCACCTCGACTACTTAACGTAACTGCTATTCGCGACGCAGGTTATGGGGCCTCACCTATGCACGCCAACGTAATACAGTGGTCAACGACGGCGCTCCATACTCATAACTCCACGCGTTGATAATGGGCCCGCCATGAATTTACGAAAACACCATTGGCGAACTGCATTTTATTCATTGGCATCACTGGTACAAGCTTAATTGGTAGTCGCTCCATTTTTCAATTTCTTAAGATCCACTTCACGGGACAAGGATTCTGGAACGGCAAGTAGGCATGCAATTAATCTTCAGGAACAGCATTTAAGCAACTGGATGTAATTGAATTTTATTTGTTTGCTTACCTAGTGGTTCATAATTCCCATTACCAGGATGAGGGATAAATGTATAGTCGTTGCGGATTGTCATGGGTTCATTGAATCGGCATTTGACGCCTTCGATTTACAATCACACGGATTCCTCGTCATCACGGGATTCGAAAGCAAGGTCTACAAAGCGTGTGCTAAGAAATTAGGCCTCAAATTACCAGCCTTCATCAACTCCGAAACTGTACACTACATGTTCCATCAATCAAGATGCCGCATGAAAACGAGTGGCCTCTGAATACTGAAAATAGGTGTACACAAGATAGCCACAATGATTGGTAAAATATGCCCGTGCAGGTTCCGACAGAGGTGTTGACTGTCTGAGAACATTTGGGAGTTTGTACCACCAGCTGACTGATAATAACAACGGGCTTCTCACCTTGAAGCGATCTGTCTGGTTGTGTATCAGATTTGGCGAACATATTCCAATGTGCCTGAGAACCTGATTAGCGGCGTGCGTCGTCATCCGGGAAACCACACGTAGAACGTAGATGTCTCCCTCCTGAATTTCTCGGCGGGCACAATAATAAGTGGTGTGCAATAAATGGTGCAATAAGTTGTGTGTGCGCAAAATGCTCGCTTTCGGCAAGGGCATACATTACGGGTCAACCGATGCCCATGCCATCCGTCACAAGGGATGTATGAAGCTTGTAACTTAACAGCGAACGTCAGGGGCTCTAAATTTATTTACCCAAGACGGTTAGTACCGTGTGTAGCATCAACGTTTACAGGATCCGGGAAACGTCTAAGGAGTGTTATCTGCTGCGTTCGAGAAAAGCAAGCATGACTATATCTGCCACCCTCAGATTTCACCAGCAGCACGCGACCGCACTCTCGAAACTTGGCTATGATGGACGACATGTCATCTAACAAACCGACTAAAAGGTAACCAACGGCCTACTTAACAATAGGGGGTCGACATTTGACGCGATAGTTACGCACATCCTTGATGGTGAGTACCTTTCCAAAGTGGTCAACGAGGTACTGCCGAGTCTTCGATGACGGAGCACCGTATTTCAAAAGGGTAGTACGCTCCTTTACTTCATCATTTGTCAGTCGCCGGTTGATGAGGAGCCTGTCAAAAATAAACTTGCTGCGTGGATGGTTATGCTCCAGGTAGAAAGAAGTAACCCTCAAGCAGTCATGGTACCGGCGAACGTAGAACCTTGCCGGACAATTAGTACAACGTGTCCTACAACGTACACAAAACTTACTAGGTGCGACGAATTCCACGGCTTCTGTTTTGTCTGCAGAGATGTCTGCTGCAACGGTAGAAGGCTTTTTCATATAAAAGTAGCAAATTTCTGCTCTTTTTGGAGTTTATACGAGCGAAAACAACAAAATGTTTCGTCTAGAACTCTTTTAAAGCGAATTGAAACGCATTGAATGAGAAAAAACTTTGGCGAGCTAAATTCACCACATAATCATCCCCCGCATTCACGTGCTCTGCGATAGCAGCCATTTAAAATATGAATATCGCGGGACATGAATAGCGTGGGGGGTTGAGTAGATTTAAACAACTTTCAACAAAACTGCGGCCGCTTGGGAAAATCTCATACGCCCGAAAAATTA